GTATGTGTGCTGATGGTGGGATAGTTATTTATGTATGTGTGCTGATGGTATTTATGTGTGCTGATGGTGTGGTGTGGTCTACTAGTTATTGTACCATGTATGTGTGCTGATGGTGCGCTAGTTATTGTACCATGTATGTGTTCTAATTATTGTACCATGTATGTATGTTGATGGTGTGCTGGTTATTGTACCATGTATGTGTGTGATGGTGTGCTAGTTATTGTACCATCATGTGTTGTGTTCTGTTATTGTACCATGTGTGCTATTTATTGTACCATGTATGTATGTGTTCTGCTAGTTATTGTACCATGTATGTGTGCTGATGGTGCGCTAGTTATTGTACCATGTATGTGTTCTAATTATTGTACCGTGTATGTGTGCTGATGGTATGATATTTATTGTACCATGTATGTGTGCTGATGGTGTGCTAGTTGTTGTACCATGTATGTGTGTGTGTGATATTTATTGTACCATGTATGTGTTCTGATGGTGTGCTAGTTATTGTACCATGTGTGTGTGCTGATGGTATGATATTTATTGTACCATGTATGTATGCTGATGGTGTGCTAGTTATTGTACCATGTGTGTGTGCTGATGGTGGGATAGTTATTGTACAATGTATGTATACTGATGGTCTACTAGTTATTGTACCATGCATGTGTGCTGATGGTGTGCTAGTTATTGTACCATGTATGTGTGCTGATGGTGTGCTAGTTATTGTACCATGTATGTGTGCTGATGGTGTGCTAGTTATTGTACCATGTGTGTGTGCTGATGGTGTGCTAGATATTGTACCATGTATGTATGCTGATGGTGTACTAGTTATTGTACCATGTATGTGTGCTGATGGTGGGATAGTTATTGTACCATGTATGTGTGCTGATGGTGTGCTAGTTATTGTATCATGTTTGTGTTCTGATGGTGTGATATTTATTGTACCATGTATGTGTGCTGATGGTGTGTTAGTTGTTGTACCATGTATGTATACTGATGGTGTGCTAGTTATTGTACCATGTGTGTGTGCTGATGGTGGGATAGTTATTGTACCATGTGTGTGTGCTGATGGTGGGATAGTTATTGTACAATGTATGTATACTGATGGTCTACTAGTTATTGTACCATGTATGTGTGCTGATGGTGGGATAGTTATTGCACTATTTATGTGTGCTGATGGTGTGCTAGGTATTGTACCGTGTATGTGTGCTGATGGTGTGCTAGTTGTTGTACCATGTATGTATACTGATGGTCTACTAGTTATTGTACCATGTATGTGTGCTGATGGTGTGCTAGTTGTTGTACCATGTATGTGTGCTGATGGTGTGCTAGTTGTTGTACCATGTGTGTATGCTGATGGTCTACTAGTTATTGTACCATGTATGTGTGCTGATGGTGTGCTAGTTATTGTACCGTTTATGTGTGCTGATAGTGTGCTAGTTGTTGTACCATGTATGTATACTGATGGTGTGCTAGTTATTGTACCATGTGTGTATGCTGATGGTCTACTAGTTATTGTACCATGTATGTGTGCTGATGGTGTGCTAGTTGTTGTACCATGTGTGTATGCTGATGGTCTACTAGTTATTGTACCATGTATGTGTGCTGATGGTGCGCTAGTTATTGTACCATGTATGTGTTCTAATTATTGTACCATGTATGTATGTTGATGGTGTGCTGGTTATTGTACCAAGTATGTGTGTGATGGTGTGCTAGTTATTGTACCATGTATGTATGCTGATGGTGTGCTAGTTATTGTACCATGTATGTATGCTGATGGTGATCTAGTTATTGTACCATGTATGTAAGCTGATGGTATGGTAGTTATTGTATCATGTATGTGTTTGATGGTGTGCTAGATATTGTTCCATGTGTATATGCTGATGGTGTGCTAGATATTGTACCATGTGTATATGCTGATGGTGTACTAGTTATTGTACCATGTATGTGTTTGGTGGTGTGCTAGATATTGTACCATGTGTATATGCTGATGGTGTACTAGTTATTGTACCATGTATGTGTTTGGTGGTGTGCTAGATATTGTACCATGTGTGTATGCTGATGGTTAGCAGATGATGTGTGGACATTGATTTTGGTACGATGTGTATATGCTGATGGTTTACAGATGATGTATGGACATAGATTTTGGTACGATGTGTATATGCTGATGGTGTACTAGTTATTGTACCATGTATGTGTTTGGTGGTGTGCTAGATATTGTACCATGTGTATATGCTGATGGTTTACAGACGATGTATGGACATAGATTTTGGTACGATGTGTATATGCTGATGGTGTACTAGTTATTGTACCATGTATGTGTTTGGTGGTGTGCTAGATATTGTACCATGTGTATATGCTGATGGTTTACAGATGATGTATGGACATAGATTTTGGTACGATGTGTATATGCTGATGGTTTACAGATGATGTGTGGACATAGATTTTGGTACGGTGTCCAATACCACACATGTAATTAGTGTAATGAAGAAGTGAACAGGTGAATAACTGTGAACACTAATCATATCTTGATGTTATAGCAGATAAAATTCCATTCCAAATGAAAAATGTCAGAGAACAGATGATCTCTGATTCTGTGATCTTCCATACGTTAATCCTATTTCATACTTATTGCATGACACCTAATTTGACAACAGTATTCTATACTTACCAAGCTTTAACACACTTTTGCATTGTGTCATTCTTTTCTCGACATCTGAACATCATCATGAACTCTTCAGCTTTGGCACATTTTTCAAAGGCTGACAATATAAAACATATCCAAGTGATTGGAATATTTAAACATTACTATGATCTTAAAACATGTTTAATGGGTTGAAGAGACTGTATTGTGAAGGTTTTTTTACTCCTTTTTTATCCTTTATCAAATTCCTTCTTAAAAACTTCAATACAATCAATTCATATTAAAGTATATATTACAGTTGTCTGACCTATCAAAGCCAAAACGTGATGGAGGTTTTTCCATCATTAAATTTCCTTCACTATTTATTTAGTTCTGCATTCTTGACAATGTCTCAGTCATCAAAACATGTGAGTGAATTAGTTGATACTGCAGATTAAACACAGGCTTACTAGATGACCCTGTTAATCATTTATATCCTTTGTCACAGTCTTTCTTTATTCTCATGAGCTTACAACATTTTATTGATGTATGTAAAACCAAGCTTAGTATTCAGTTTGATAATGAGCAAATCCACTTCTCTTGAAAGGCTGAAATCACGATAAATGAAATTCTTATTCTCAAGAAATTTTTTTTCACACGCCCAAGTACTATATCTTAAAAAGAAGGTTTAGGTCCAGATGTTGCAAATTGCGGACAGACCTAAAAATATCACTGACTTCCTAGAGAGAAAAATGTCAACAATCGACAACTTCAAAACAACACAAATTTATTTCAGTATCGACAATAGAAAGTTTTGCTATATCTACCTGTGATATTACCCAACTGAGTTACTATAATGATATAAAGACTAATATGAATTGGACACTCCTTTTTTAAATATTCCTTGAGCACCACATTCATAAAATGTGATATTACCCAACTGAGTTACTAAAATGATATAAAGACTAATATAAATTGGACACGCCTTTTTTTAATGTTCTTTGAGCACCACATTCATTACAATAATAGCAAAGAATCATTCAAGCTTTCATGTCTATAAATAGCGCTCATAATATCGACAAAGCTATTGAAGTTGTAAGTAATTCTGAGTACACAGCAAATTATTCTCTCTATTTTGTCACACAGGTGCATACAGAGTTTTAATAATCATTTGTGTGCAGGTAGTATCTATTGATATGTCCCAAATTTTTCACAAGTAAATATTTTGATTAATTCCTTTCAATCAAGGAGAGCCAAGGATGTGCCATAGTTATATTACTAGATATCAAGCATCAGTGATTTCACAGTTACCTATCACTTCTGGGCGACATTTCTCCATCCAGGCTTTGTCCCTCATCACCATCGGTATCAAAACCTCTTTTTCAACCTTCCGCAGTGACAGGTCATCTGGATCACCTTATAAGGAATATGTAACATAAGTATTATAACTAACCAGCAGTTTCATATTTGTAATAGCTCTCAGCATATATTAATCACTCGTTAACCTGGATGTAAGCGAACGAGGTATCTTATTTTGGGAGGAAACCAGAGTACCAACAGAAAACCAACACAGTTGGGCAGGAAACCCCTATCTTTTCACATCTGTACTGAGATATGTAAAGGTGAAAGGTGAGTATGTTACTACTGCACCACGCGACCATCCAATCCTGGTAGCTATTTCTTACAGGCATTGGGTGCATCACTGTCAAATGTCTACAGTCATTATTATTTTTTACTGAATTATTTTAGACAAATACCTCATTTACATATAAATATGAACTAATTTATTCCATCATCTTCATATACAAAAAATATTGCAAAAAAGATACAAAAAATATTGCAAGAAGTAAACAAAAGATCTGAGTGGGATCTTGGTGTCCATCATCGTTTGATCTTCATTTGTTTTTTAAAAGGGATTTTTCCTTTCTTTTCACCAATATTCATGTACATGAAATTTGAGAATTCATCTCAAGAAATAGCAATAATAATCTTCAATTGTAAGTAAGAAATGGTCACCTGTCAGTATGTCATTTATCTGTCGATTCTAAAATCAAAAAGGCACAACAAGGAACCAACAGAGATCAAAATAAAAAAAATGAATAAGACCCATCCAGCACCTCTCAATTAATAGCCATAACAAACTTTTACTTTCAAAATTATAGATGACCGTCTGTCAACAACACAACACTTAATGGATTATTACAGACAATACCTGACAAAATCCAAGATGGCTGCTTGGATCCATCCAGTGCTTTCTTTCCAGAAATAGCAATAACTAACTATTTTGTCAAAATCCAAGAATGGTGCCTGTTGGCTATGTTGTTTTTTCAGGTCAGTTAGAAAATGGAATAATGCACAACTATAGGGGCCAAGAGTCCATATAAATGACATTTGAGACAGATTTGTCTGACATTATCCAAGAAACAGCAATAAACTTTCATTGTCAAAATCCAAAACGGCCACCTTTCAGCCACGTTATTTATTCAGGTTTAAGTCTGAAAACCAAATAATGCAGAGTTAAGGATTTCTAAAGAAATAGCAATAACAGACTATTCCTGTCAAAATCTAAGACAGATGCCTGGATCCATCCAATACTTCTCCAGAAAAAGTGATAGCAAACTATTATGTTAAAATCCAAAACTACAGCCTGTTGGCTATGTTGTTTTTCATATCATTCCAATATAGGACAATGCGTAATTAGGGACCAACAGCAATTTATCTATGAAAGTTGGAAAACATCCATCTAGTTTTGGTCCATCTAAAAAGCATCAACAAGTGAAAACAAGGGTCATAAAGTTTCTTAAAAAAATATCTTATAAACTGCTTATTTAATTTGTTGACATCAAAAGATAAGTTTGGGATATATGGCAATATCTGTTCATATTGCTTTAATAAAATTACCATAATTTGGTCATTTTTTTTTCATAAATGAAACTGAAACTTGGCAATTAATGTATCATGATCATAATAACCCAGGCTGCTTGTATACAATGTAAAATACATGTATGCCAAGCTGTCGATCTCACTACAGTAAAATTGTCATATCTTATTCAATTTTGTATGAAACTGAAACTTGGTACACTAATGGGTTATGACCATATAAATAATATATCTCTTGACATCATTATTTATATTAATCATTTTAAAATACATGAACTGAAGACACCACAGGCGAATGCAATACATGTGTACATCTGATGATTGAAGGAAACTGAACTCTCCCTAACTCAGCCAATTAATCAAATATCAACATGAAATTTGTTACATAGGCGTATTAAGAAGTTATCTTTTAAGAAATTTTCTGAAGATGCTTTATGACGTTTTTGGTCAATTGTTGAAACTTTTTAGATAGACTACTTCTCAACAAAAAGAGAAAACAATATTGACTGGCAATTCTTTAAGGACTAATGGCTATGGACTGACGATGGAGTGGTGTTGATGGGCTAAATATGGATGTTTTAGAAGAATGATAATGCTGAAAGGCAGGACCTTTTCTATTTTTTCCTGTATATCTCATTTTTGGGGAAAATTATCCATTCAGAAGGAAATTCTTAGAAGTACACTCTACATATTTTGAGAATTTGGCAATTTTATGAAATAGATCTAACTGGAAATGGGGCCCATATTAAGCCCCACAGAGCCCATGGAATAAAAAATAGCCTGTATTTCATTGTAAAGAGAAAATAGGTTCAGCTATCGGTCAATGACTTCTGTGAATGGCGATTTGGTAACAAGATGTCAAAATAATTTTGAATAATGATTACACAAGGTGATGTTTGTACCTTAATTTTGTATGCTCTTTCTGTTAATAGAACATATTTTAAGAATTACTCTTTTATTTTTTCAGTTTATGTGATCATGAATCCTAAATCCAATTGGATTTATGATCTCATACACTAAACAAAATAGAAGGATAATCCATAAATATTATCAACAGAGCATCATCTGTGATACAGCAACAAAGGAAAAAATTTAATATAACTAACTAAATATGAAATACAACTTTTGATAAACATAATGCAGATTGACTACTACACTCTATTTGCTTTGTGTATGCCTTCTTTAAGCTGATACCTCTACTGGGTTAAGTAATCTGTATGTAATAATCAATGTACCCATTATTCCTTGAATGCGGATACAAACTCCCAAAATCTGTGCAATTTAATACTTGTGTCCCTGGTTTTCAAGCACTTTCCTACATAAATTCACTGTTAGGGGTACAATGCATGTGAACCATGTTTCTAAATACATAGGGGTAAATTGAATAATTTAGCAAATGCTACACTCTTTAAAAGCTTTGACTTTTCAAATTAAAGATGACCAGGATATTAGCAGCCCACGCTTGTGATGACATTAAAACAATAACTGTGGAAAGAAATAGTTATTTTCATATGCACAATGCACATGAATACACACAGGATATTTTATTGGGTAACTGAGAAATTGCTGGACACATATATATATATATCTGACAACTTTCTGTCTATGACTTTAACATATATGTAGATTCTAAGAAATATGTCTTTTCTTCAAATCTCGGGCCATGGGAGTTGCCCACTGCCAATCGGTCAGACGATTTACCGAAACAAGCCATTTGTAGGGGTTTTATCATGCTCGTTACTAATATGTCTATTAAATGTCCATCGAATATACATCTCTAGGTGAAAATTTAAAAACTTTGACTATGGTATGATTTACAGTGACTTTGATTACGAAATGCTTAACCGAAAGAAGACGAGGATATAAGGGGCGTAACTCTTACAGAACTGTTGTTACAGAACCTGTATCATACGACACTGAAGAAGTGTCTTTCTGATTTTTATACAACTATTGTTTGCTAAGAAAATACACTAAAATGTATTGTATTAGAGGTTTGTTACGAAAATACACCTGCCAAATTACTTAAAAAGCTCTGTTTCAGTCTTGTTTCGGTCTTGTTTAGGTAATTGGGTCTGTTTCGGTAAATCGCCTTGCCCATTGGCATTGCCAACTGCGTCCTTGGATTTCAAAGGACACTCGACTTTGAGAGGATAAAATTCCTGTAAATTAATCACAAATAAAACTAAGATGAACAATTCATTAATCTCTTGATTAAAAGGGGAAAACACAGTTATGTTATCAATTAATGAGATATTTACCAATGATTTCACACTAGGAGCTTAACAGTTACAGCTAATATGCCAGCTGACTGCGGGTGTTACGTAAACACGAATTGTTCGGCAACACAAAACTCAACAATTTCAATAAATACAAACCTAAACCTAAAGGCCCAGATGCAAATTCAGATGGGAGAACGGTCCACTCTGTTCTTGGTCGCCATTCTAAGATGTCATCTTGATCCGTTTGTGGTTTTGGGGTCGGCGGTGCGGGGACTCCATCGGCCATGTTTCTCACTTTTGTCGCTTCTGACGTTAGAAATAAAATAAGTAAAGAGTGTTACAAGTAAACATTATGTTGTTTTGTCTAGGTACTTATTAAACATCAACCAAATATGCACATTGAAAATAATCATACATGGTTTTGTCAAATAAATTTAATATTAATATCATATGTATATAGAGCTAAGCGAGGTATAACTTAGGTGCGTTCGATTAGGTACAGATTATAGTAAAGTCGTCTTGATCCACGAGTACGTAAAATATATATATATTTAGTTTTGAGGTTCAACAAACCAGTAAACCATCAATTGGCACAGAGACTTGTAATGATGTTTCTGAGGATATAAATGCTTATGTGATGTACTATATTATACAATCCCCTCTCACAGAAAAAAAAACTGTCGCATGCCTCAGAGCCCAGTACAGTGTTATGTACAGGAATTAGTCGGGATCTGATCAGTTATGTCGTATTTAACGTTTCCAACATTAAGGGCTGATACGAATGACAAGATAGCCTGGGAATCATTCGAATGTAACACATTTCCTGTCAACAATGTTAGCACTAACATACACCAGATATTTCTTCAGAACAAAAATCTTTATTCCTTCGAGAAATCAGAGACATATACAATACATCTCTGGAGAAATCAACTTCAAGAACTGTACTGATATAATATATCCGGCATTGTCATAGTGATCATATTGATTATCAAGGAGTATGGTAGGAATACAAGAAGTTAACAGTGTGCAGGTTCGTGTATCTTTGCCTCTTGTTGAGACCATTTGTATGTCCTCATCAATTTGTTAGAACCTATACAGCTTCTAGTCCAAACACTTACCAGAAGAGTTTAAAATGATAAGGTACATCAAAACATATACACGAAGTTAACATTCAATACTGATCAAACAAAGATAACATTATTATCCAAACGGAAATATAAGGGAAATGTAACATATTCCTGTGAGATATGGGGTTTAGAAAATATAAATATAATAGAAAGAGTACATCTTCAGTTCTGTAAACGTTTGCTTAATGTAAAGAAAAAACATTGCCTCCTTTATGGTGTATGGAGAAACAGGGCGTTTCCCTGTGTTATGTTATATAAAACTAAGAACAATTTTATTTTGGCATAAATTGATAACATGCAATGAATAAGAGTACCGCAAAGCTGAACAAAATACGCCCGTGAATATCTAAAACAGCACAGGGGTATAACTCTTATTCAAATTGTCTAATCAAAACCCCGTTCAGGAAAACACAATTTCATATCATGGTGATTAAGTCTACCAAGTTTCATAAAGATCGGCTGAAAAATATTGGAGGAGATCTCCAGACAATATTTCTATAGTGAAATAAACAAAGGGCCATAACTCTTGTTAAAATCACGAAATCAAAAGCCCGTTAGGAAAAACACAACTTCATATCATGGTAATTAAGCCTACCAAGTTTCATAAAGATCGGCTAAAAAATGTTGGAGGACATCTCCAGACAATATTTCTATAGTGAAATAAACAAAGTGCCATAACTCTTGTTAAAATCACAAAATCAAAACCCCTTTCGGAAAAACACAACTTCATATCATGGTAATTAAGCCTACCAAGTTTCATAAAGATCGGCCAAAAAATGTAGGAGGAGATCTCCGGACAAGATTTCTATAGTGAAATAAACAAAGGGCCATAACTCTTGTTAAAATCACGAAATCAAAACCCCGTTCAGGAAAACACAACTTCATATCATGGGTATTAAGCCTACCAAGTTTCATAAAGATCGGCTAAAAAGGGTGGAGGAGATCTCCAGACAATATTTCTATAGTGAAATAAACAAAGGGCCATAACTCTTGTTAAAATCACAAAATCAAAACCCCGTTCGGAAAAACACAACTTCATATCATGGTTATTAAGCCTACCAAGTTCCATAAAGATCGACTAAAAAATGTAGGAGATCTCCGGACAAATAAAAGTTTGCGACGGACGCCGGACCATACCATAATACGTTTGTCTTTCGACGGGTGTATAAAAACTGTCCAGTACATTGTATAACTTGATGTTCAGACTACACGAAAATGATGTTAAATTTAAATGGAATTCTTTTGTACAGAATATACTTAATGAATCAGGCTTACGTTATGTATGGACCTTACAAAGAGAGTATCTACCTGGTTTACCAGAGCTGAAATTTATTCTGAAACAGAATTTACATGATCAATTTATTCAAAAGTGGTATAGTGATATAGATAATGCTTCAAGGGAAAATGTGTATGCCTTATACAAAATGAAATTCGGTTGTGAAACCTATTTGTTGAAAATGAGTCCTAGAAATAGGAAATTACTATGTAAACTGAGAACTTCCAACATGCCCTTGCCAGAAGAAACTGGTAGGTGGACAGGTATTAGAAGAGAGGACAGGTTATTGTAACAATGGCGTAGGTGATGAATATGATTATTTATTTTTGTGTGAAAATCCAGCAATACAAACTAATACTAATAGGAGAAAGTTCATACCTAATTATTATACTAGTCACCCTAATATGACAAAGTTCAAAGGGTTACTGACTCTATATAATGTAAACAGTCTCATAAGATTGTGTTGTTTTTGGCTTGCTCTTGAGGGGATCTTGAAGGCGATATGATTATCTGGTTGTATCGACTTGGATGATCTCCCCTTGATTAGGCGAGATCAGCCTATCAGCTGAGTCTGTAGTATCCCGTCTGTAAGCTTATAATTAGCTACATCGTGGTACTCCTGCCATGTAACATATAAATGTAACTAATTGTGACCTCTTGTTTCACACGTCAGTGTGACTGAGCGAAATAAAATCTCTCTCTCTCTGGAACCATTAAATGGTTGTTCTGAGCAGGGGCTTCTTCATAAACGAGCCGTTTTTATTACTACGTATTTATAAATGGTATAATTGTTTAATAAGGGCTGTATTTAAACCGAGGCCACAGATTATTTAAAGTGAGGCCACGGATTACATAAACCGAGACCACAGATTATTCATACCGAGGCCACGGATTAATAAACCAAGACCACGAATTGCTTAACCGAGACCACGGATTAATCAACCGAGGCCACGGATTGCTTAACCGAGACCACGGATTAACAATTTTTTCCTGATGTCCCTTCCCTTCATCAGAACAGTGGACTCTTCCCCAACTCTTCATTTGCTGGTAATCGTTAGATCAATATTTTTTTAGGGATTGAAAGTAATCTCCCAGATGTAAGCCCAATCGTTAACGGAAAGAACATTGGAATCATCACTTCTACTAACATCACTATTTACAACAACATAAAGACACGGATTATCAGTATCTACAATAACATAAAGGCACGGATTATCAGTATCTACAATAACATAAAAGCACGGATTATCAGTATCTACAATAACATAAAGGCACGGATTATCAGTATCTACACTAACATAAAGGCACGGATTATCAGTATCTACAATAACATAATATTATTTGACAGTTATTGAACAATTGTTGTGAAAATGAGTAAAATTTGTAGTTTATCATATTTTGTTTGTTTGTATTGTTTTTTTTATTATATATTACGAGAATATATTACATAATTGTAAATACAGACACCTTTCTGCATAATACGATTTTTGGAAACACAGGTCTGTTGGTCTTTTTTATTTTGTTTTATTTTTGTCACATTCTGTTATTGATTGTTACTCATCCAACAGCAATGGCGATAGTTTCAAGTATTCTTGACACATTATTACCATTCTGCCTCAATGCACATTCACTTTACACACTAACAGTTCACTTAACGTCCAATTTGTCGAATGAAATAGAAGTAAAATGGTTTCCAATTAAAATAAATATAAAAAAATGCAATTAAAAATGACAAACATAATTTTAATGTTGATATATCTGAAAAAAAAAAATAAAGAATTATTTCAATTCAGGCAAATATACATTTTTTATTCAGAATAAATAAGGAGCAGGTATATAAATCAATGAATTAAACGACAGCTCCTAGGAGATATAGACTTTTCTAAAACTACAGAAAAAGGTGTAATATTACTTTATGACATAAAGAAAAAACATGTGGATTAGTCTGATCCTTTGATATATATACAATTTCGAGTTCGCATAAGGGTATGTTGTTCTGGTTTTGAAGTTGGATTTCTCTCCTTTGTTATCTCCAAAGAGAGTTTCTGTCTGTGATTGGTCAGTTAATACTTTTGAAACCCACTCTAGAGCTATCAAATTACAATTATGTACTGTACCCAGAAAATGCTTCCAGGGTGTAAAGAATGAAAATGATCGCGCAGAGCAGAAACTGAGTAACGTAGTTTTCTGTGAATAATTATTGACCAATTCAGCTACATGCTACTTTGTTAGTGGATTATTGGTTCGAGGCTCTGACTATCTATACGCAAATTAAATTGTTTGTCCTTGTCGCTGACGATACCAAAATAAAACGTAAAATCAGCATCCTTCAAGAACTAGGATGTAATCTATTGAAATTGATAATAATATATGATATTGTTTTTATTAACTTGTCTTGATATGTCCTTACTTTCATTCTTTAAATAACATTAAAAAAAACTTATTTCAAACGACAGTGTGGTACATATGTTAAGCTTGAAAATTGTTTTATTAGTATAGTGGCAGGAATGGAAGTTTTCATTGTCACCTCGGTTTATGAAATGCAATATGTATTTAAAGAGAGGAATGGCCTTGTTGGAATGTTCATGACAAATGATATATGAGAAATGTTTCGGGATTTAGTGCCATTGGATGCTTTGTACGCCTTTACCAGTTATGGGTGCCAACCCAATGAAAAAATTAAGTAAGTGTGGGCCCAACGTTTTAACGCCACTATATACTTTCTGTTGAGCGGTACTTCTGGTGAACTCCCATTTAATTTCTCCTGTATTGCTCTTCTGCATTATTATCCTGTTATCACAATTGCCGGCTCGCATTGTTATTGTTGTGTTGTTGAGATACATCACAAGTTCACAGTTCTTCATTGTGCTATTCAATTCCTGGATG